TCAGCCGTACACGAAGACCCCAGCGACTTACAACAAACCGAAGCCACTTCCACCTTCGAAACCTCCGCAGAGTGTTAACGCCCTGGTCGAAACGCTGATCGACGAAACCGTTCAAAACGTGGAAAACGGCGATCAGCCTGACTCCAGGAAACGTAGTTTCTCCGCGAACGGTGAGCTCTTCTTTATTAAGAATGAAATTCTGGATGACTCTACAGATAAAGAAATCTAAATTTAGAGACTAAAGAAGGCTATGGAAACGATATCCATAAGACATAGCTTATGTCTTAGTTTTAAATTAAGTCCGTAACTTTAGAGCATTAGAGATGAATATTCGGTACTGGGTTCACAGAGAAAATTCGACGTTGGATAGGTCATCACCATCTATCAGTGCAAGGATTCGATATTCGAATGCTTATGGAGATATAAGTACCTTTCAGCTTAGGGTGGTATTCACATTTTCTAATTGTAGGCGCTAAGAAATGATTATACCTGAAACTTAAGGCAATGACTTTCATTTTACGCGCCTACTGATGCCCATGAAGAAAGTTGAAACGTTAAGAGTGGTAACTCGATATGTGGAACGGCGGAAACACCTATTAATCTAGTCCAGTTGCTCTTCATTGTTTTCGGTTAGTACTAAGCTACAGTCTTCTTCTCTGCATCTTTGACATTATCTTTATTTTCTGAGATCCGCCCGTTTTTCTGTTCATCGCTTGTCTCACATGGTCGGCTGAAGTATCGTTTCGTTAGCTGACTGACTTTTGGCGATGACGACACTAAATAATTTCGTATTTACATTACCAGTTCAAACAGGTGATATACTCATTGGGTCACACAACCTGTCTCTAGTTCTTCATCAGAAGCGCAACCATAAGACGCAGTGAAGGCATAGTAGAACTCTACAGGCTTTACGGAGTACTCTGACCATGTTTCTGCTCTAGTCTCGCCATAAACCTATATTTCAGTGCTTACAATGTGCTGTATTCAATACTTTTACAACAAGTGTCTGATCCACCTCACCTGTTACTTTTGTTCATACAATACAAGTGGCTTTAGTTGCGAGTTCAACTGATAATGAAACGATTTACTTAGGGACACTAGATTATCACTGATTTGTTAGCTGTTCTTTTCAGGGTTCTTCGGAACACATTTGTCTGACTGTCTAACCTCCACGGTACTTAGCTCAAAGTCCTTTTCCATTGTCTTTGTAATTTCTCTGTGGCGTTGATAACAAGGTTCGATTTGTGTCAGACTGAACCTGTATGTTCTACCCAGGCGTAGAGGTTCCCATCCTTATTCTTTCTTATAAAGCGATTTTGCCATTTTAAATGTGCTGAACTGCCGTTATTGAGTATTATATTCTTGTGTTGCTGTTCGTACTGAAAACTGAAAAATGGGCAAACACGGTTTATTTATAAACAGCGCAAGCAAATTGGTTAATGGTAATTAACCAGTATCGACGTTTCAGCTCGTCTCTTACGGGATTTTTTCATGGTGATCCTGGGTTGATTTCCGCGGTTCATGCCGTGGTCCGTTGCGGTTGTGACTCTTGGATCGAAAACTGCTGAACTGAGAGACAGGTGTGAACTCCTGCTACTTAGTTTCAAATGGCATGACCATTTGGTTCTGCACTCGCGCCCGGAACACTAGATCAGTACGATAGCAAAAATTATCGAACTGATTTATTGCAATCGTTCTCCTTCTCAGAATGCGACTGAACATTTGTACTTTAAATGCACCTTCTAAGGCTGTGTACAGTAGCAGTAGCTGGAAGATGTTTTCTAGCGTTTCGTTCTCTTAAAGGGGTATACAATCAAGTTTCGTTCCCTTTGTCGATTTACTGGCTGTTACTTTACATTGGTTAACGGGATTAGATGTTCTTTTATCCTCTGTTTTCTTGCATGACGTTCTTCCTAATCCTTATCAACGCTCCGGAGTTAATCCTTATAAATTGTCTTGAATATTTTGTTTTTTTTTGTTTCTGTTTTTCTTGTTGTCAAAGCAGTCCAGACATTATGTAGCTCGAATTTCTGCTTCGCCTTAATTTTGCAGCGTTGCTCAATTTCATCTCGAACGACGTGCATTCAGTGGGAATATCTAAGTGTTTTTTTGTTTTTCATTATTATTTCAGTTAATATTGTCTTTAGTATTAGTATATAGTATTTAATTTTTCAGCGAGTTCCCAACTGAAAAACGAAGCCAGGATTGAGAAAGCTGATCTGCTCCTAAATGGAAGGATGTCTGTCAACCGTTCGAGCAACCAGCTTGACGATGAAAACAGTCCAACATCGACAGTTTGCCGCATACTTCGGTTATTGGACGAAATCCAAAACCCGTCCCCCTCGAACGAGTTTCACGTGTCTGACATCCATCTCCATTGCAAACACTGCAAGGGCACTTTAGTCACTCTTTGACATCGTCAGTGGCAGCGTCCTTCTAGTTCGCATATTTCTAAGGGTTCATTTTAGTTTCATAATTTATATTCTGATTTTGTCGTTGATCATTTGTGTATTGTCTGCTATTAAAATTGTTGGGTTATCATTACGTTTAGTGCATTAAAGACCAACTTGTTATTTTCGTTGGGACGGTACGATTTGGTTTGACGTTTTCGATTTTGGCCTGTTGTTTGTGTTGTAGCTAAATGGATGATCCATGGCTGTTAGCACCGGAAACCCTTTTTAGCTTATTGCCAACGCGTTTCGTAACCACGTTGGTAGCATAATCATGGAAAATATTAGGCATACTCTTTATGTAATATATTTCTAGATAATGCATTAAATTTCATTGGCGAACGTTTCAATAAGGTGTACAGTGAGAAAGAACACTTACCGGATGCTGAACTTCCGGCTTAGAGAACACTGATCTGCAGTGGACACTAATTTGCGCAATGCACGGCACTCGCTGTTTGAAACGAACTGCGTCAGTCAGCCGGCCGAGTTTATATTCAATAGAGATCGTTCAGGTGACTCTTCCGATGAATACTCTGGCACGGATATGCATGTCATGAATATTTCTTTTCCATCATTATCACGAGCTGATAGTGAATGATACTATCAACCGTTTAAATTTTTCTCCCATTTTGGGTGGCTTATCAATCATCTGTTTTATTCATTTGAAAAACGTAGTTGATATTTCTCCGAGACGGAGCAAAAAAAATAGGTAATGATTGGAGCTAAACTGCCGAAAGCAGAGAGGAATTGGAACCGGAACTTGAGAGAGAGAATCATATTCACTGTTATCAAGTGTGGTCTGATGGAGCTTCCACTGTGTTCTAGCTGCTGTAACAGAACACGGTAGAGCACAAAAAGTATGTTCATTCACCAGAACGGGAGTTTAACATCACAACTGAAATTAGTATTCCGATTTTCGGTTTGCAGAATCTGAATCAGAATTTTTTATACTGATCTGAAATAATCAATGACCGATTGCAAGCGTTTTGCGTATGGGGCATATAATGCGCATCTTTTAGGAGAGTTTTTTGGCTGCCCTTCAAAAGGAAGCTCAGTAAAATTTCAGTCATACTGTCTACCCTTGAACAAAAAATATCAACCGTCAAATGAATCAAAGATTTAAGCATGTATTTAATGGGCTCAACAGCATTTAAGAAAAGAAAGCGAATTCAACTAGACTTTGAAATCATGGAAATGTTGCTCAAATCTGTGCACTGCTATATTGCTAAATAATAGCCTGTTTTGAATGCTATTCTTTAATAATGACAATTTGGGTTTTCAATTTGGCTGCTAATTGAGACCTTAAGGTACTTCAGACTAATTATTTTAACTAATGAAATAGGTGATGTATA